CCTCTTTCTCTCTGCCTCTCTCCCTCTCACCCTCTCTCTCTCTACCTTCCCCCCCCCTCTCTCTCACCCTTTCTCAGGGAGCTGGAAAGTGGCAGCACCTTCCTCACTAACCGGTAGTCACGGAGATTGCGAAATAAACACACATACACTCTTATAGATACACATTCTCGTTTTGATGTATACGGATTGTTGTACAGAATGACATATATATTAGCTGGGATGTATGCATATTATGCTTCCATTCTTTTGCCTATTATTAATATTTTCTAAACATGATATCTTTATCTCTCATTTTACCTATGTGTGTGAATAAGTCATTTAATTAAGAAATATTAAATATTGAATAGATAATTAAATTAAAATAAATTATCATTCTAAAGAATACCTATTATCTTTTCGCAATAATAATATATGTCAAGGTAACTCTTATTGCAATTAATAGGTATTAATTTGTCGCAAAGTGTCTAATTGTTCGTATCAAAGTACTCCATAATTGTCTTTTATTTCCCAAAGAACTAGTATTTAACGAAATGTTATATCTTATTTTCGAAAAGAAACGTGACGAAACGTTCTGAAAAGATCCTACAGTTGTCACTGTGAGTGACTCAATACAAACGCCGTATGTAGTCTGGTATAAAAGAAGACTACTTGCCAATCGTAAACGTTTCCCAAGGTAAAACTACGTTGTGCGTCATCTTTTAAAGCAGGCTGCTACTTACTCCTTCTTCTTTTGGCGTTGAGTGGTGAGCAGATTGTACTGGAAAGGGACACCTCGCGTAAGAGAAGAATTGCCAATAGAAACGTGAATAAAAAAATAGACCGAAAGGTGAGATGTAATAAAAAATAATAATCAAGAAAGACGAGATCTGGATAGAGAGAGAAGAAAATTTTCATACAATTACTACGATTTTATAAAAAAAAAAAAATTTAAGGAGAACCAATAAATAATAACGGTTCCAATAATTATAAAATCAAAACAATACAAAATAGGGCTAAGAATCAATTCAGACTGCCTATGAATTGTGACATCTATCACATACGAGCTACAAGTTCAGATGAAGCCAAGTGAATCTAAGCCGTAGTTTACCATAGTTTGTAGTATCAACATGCGAGTAATTATGCGCCCAATTGATATATTGAACATCTTACGTAGTTACCGGTAACAATTAAATTTATTTTTTAACATTGAAGAAGACCCGATAAGGATCGAAACGTCTGTATGTATGTATGTGGAAGATTGCTTACAATAATATCGTTAATCAAATGTTACCCTGAATTGGTTCTTAGCCCTATTTTGTATTGTTTTAATTTTGAAAATATTTAAGTATTTATCGTTTCACCTTAATTAAACAACTTATATCTTTCTCTCTCTTTTAATTAAAAATCATTTTGGAAATTATAAGAAACACATACAATAATATATATATACATATATAAATATATATATATATATTCTTGAAAAGAAAAAAACATTAAAATAATTATAATCATAAAAACATTAAAATAATCATAATTATAATAATCAGTTATTAAAATAAATAAATGTGTAAATAAATACAAATGCGCTAAAGAATCATAAGTTGCGCTAAAAATCATCTTTTTGGAGAGTTTTGATTATTACTGAAGTGTTGATAATTGTAATTTTGAAAAAAAGCATACAGATATAACAAAAACCTATCTCTCTGGTGGTAACGGAAACTGTACTCGTTTACCAAGATGAAGGCATTCGCTGTATACCTATTCTTACGTAGGATAACCGGTACACGTTACTTTCCTGAAAAGTAGTGAACAGATTGCAAAAGAAAAGGATACCGTCGTCGTGTCCAAGAGCCACGCAAGTCGACAGAGATAACGGCAAAAAGAAAACGAACAACGGACGGAACTGAAAGGGGTGCAGATAAGGAGGTGAAAAGGAGGAAATGTCCACCAACAAGTGGAAACGGCAAAAGGAACGAAAAACGATTGCGAAGACCGCAAGGATAGGAAATAGAGGCAAAGAAGAGAACAAGATCTCGAGCAGGGATATATCCCGAAAAAGGGAAAAAAGGTGAGATCCAGTGACGTTTATCGAACGAAATGTGTGTGCGCGCGCGCGCGTGCGAGAGAGAGAGGAGAGAGAGAGAGAGAGAGAGAGAGAGAGAGAGAGAGAGAGAGAGAGAGAGAG